ATAGGACACTAAGTGATCTAACAATGTCATTTGGGGTACACGTCCAAAGGAAATGGAATCAGGATCTTGAAGTTTTATCCACACTCCCATGTCTGTTATAGGACTACAAGAATACCTTATGTTATTGTGTTTCACTTTATTGGACTTCACAGGGGTATATGTGTGTGTGGTTTTTAGAAATTAATGATTTGTGGCAACCCTATGTCAATCAAGTCTATTGGCCCCATTTTTCCAACAGCCTGTGTTCATTTCATGCCTCTGTTGCATTTCAGTAATTCTGTCAATATTTCAAAAGTTTTAAATATTATTTTTTGTGTTAGGATGTTCTGTGATCAATGATCTTTGATATTAGTATTTTGGATTTGTTTGGGAACACCAAAAGCCATGCTCATTTAAGACAGAGAATGGTTAAATACTGTGTGTGTTTGGACTGCTCCATCAATCAGCTGTCCTCCATCTTTCTCCCTCCCCACAGGCTTTTCTATTCCCTAAGCACAACAATACTGAAATCAGACTAATTAGTAACCCTGCAATGGACTCTAAGTGTTCAAGTGAAATGAGGTATTACATGTCTCTCACTTTAAATCAAAAGCTAGAAATGATTAAGCTTAATGAAGAAGGTATGTCAAAAGCAGCCATAGTTGAAGTGAAGTCTCTTGTGCCAAACAGTTAGCTAAACTGTGAACACAGAGAAAAAGTTCTTGAAGGAAATTAAATGTGTTAGTCCAAAGAATACACCAAAGATAAGGAAAATGAAACAATCTCACTGCTGATATGGAGAAAGATTTAGTGGCCTGGATAGAAGAACTATCTCAATTTCTCTCTCTTTAAAATAACTAAATAAACAAAGATATCTTGAAATAATAAATGAAGGTGATGTAAGACTCACATTAAAATTGAAGGAAAAGAGTAATCAAATAGCAGACAATAATACCTACAATTTATTAAGTACTTCATGTGAACCAGATTCTATGCACGATGTTTAACATATACTATTACTGCATTCAACTCATATCACCCTGTTAAGCAGATATTCTAATGTCTGCTACTAAAGAAACTAAAACTTAGAAAGATTAATTTACTTAATTGACATATGTAGTTTCCACATTTGTGATAATGGCAGCTAATTAACATACAAATATTTGTTGAACTATGATGCAATGCAAAAAACACAGGCTTTGAAAGTAGAAAAATTTTAAGTATGAATATAGACTCCATCATTTTCTGGCTGGGTAATAAAAAGGTGATTAAATATCATCCTTAATGTTAAATAATGTACCTAAAATGCCTGGTGTATAAAGTATTACTTATATTTTGTTTCAGTGTGGAGGGAATGGAGGAAGAGAGGGGAAGAGAGAGAGATTCAGAGACAGGGAGAGCAAGACAGAGAGTGCATTTTCATCTACTGGTTAACTCCTCAAATGTCAGTAACAGCCAGGGTTGACCCAGGCTGAAGCCAAGAGCCAGGAACTCCATCTGAGTCTCCCAAATACATTTCAGGAGCCCAGGCACTTGAGCCAGTATCCATCTGTTGCTTTCCAGGATGCATCAGCAGGAAACTAGACTGGAAACTGAGTAGCCAGGACTCAAACCAGGCATTCCAATATGGTTGCAGGTGTTGCAAGCTATTGTGGTTTACCCAGCCACACCACAATGCCACCCCACAAAGTAACTGTTAGGTCCTACCAGATCTACCAGATCTTACTGTCCAGTTGCCGCGAGAAGATTATTAAATAAACCTGCCACTAAAGAAAATATGAGAATAAGACCAAACAGTAAATATTGTAACATACTCTGCGCTCTGTACAGGTTATAAATTCAGAAGCAAAAAAAGATTCATGATGATTGGAGGGGAGAGGACAAGAGAAAGTTTCAGGAAGGATAAAGATGCAGAGATTCTTCAAGGATACGTCAAGGTGTAGAGCAGCAAAAAAGGTGTTTTCCCCCTCTCTGAGCTCCACGGAAGGAAGCATACAGACAAACAAAGAAGGAGCTACCCCTGAATTAAAGAGTAAAGAGGGTGGGAAAGGATTATGGAAGACTTTGATGGCCACATTGTGGAGCTGAGACTTGATAAAGTAGGAAATATAGAGCTAATAACATTTTGGGGTCAGAGAAAGGACAGAACAAGTAATGATAATAAATCTTATCTTTTTCATGGGAATATTATGAAGGATTCATTTTTTTCCCCTAAGAAATGTATTATTTCTCCAAAATGTTATTTGAACATATTTTGCATTTATAGAAAAGGAACTAAAGCAAAAAGAAAACAAGCCTCTTGCCTCACTTCATGCTGTAAAATAATCATCAAGAAAGGAAATAGAGCCCAAGGCCTCTAATTGTTGCCCATATAACTTTTTATGTTACCGACTAATAGTACTTCTACATATTGGTCAAAACTGGTCAACTTTTGGTTATTTATAACTTATCAAGTCAACTGGTGTTTATAGACAGGAAATTTTGCAATCTATTTTAATAACCAGTTGCCATTATAAACTTTACTCTATGTAAAAGGTCATAGCACCCTTAAGGAAACACAATGAACGACTCCATACAAAGATGCAAATTATAATTTCACAATCCTCAGACAAGAGTGTCTCATCCTTGCAACGTATCTTTAAAAATGCCCACTATAGGTATTTTTATATCCTTACCCTTTTACAGCTCATTACAAAGGAACTATCAATCAGTTCTATAGCATTCTTAAAACATTTTAAATGAGCCAATGTGGTTTCTTATTACACTCCAGTCTTCTCCCATTACTCCCTTTATTTCAGGCTCTAAAACTTGGGCATTATTTTCTAACCATATGCTACATGCCATGCTGGGGATTATATAACTTTTTGTTTTTATCAAAACGGTACCCTTTTGGTTTAAGCTACATCAGGCTTTTCCTAAATTTACAATTCTAAAAAAAAACCTTATAAAACAGAAGCAAAACTATTGGGCGCAATTAAATAGAGGAATACTTCTAAAAGATTTTTCTTTCTAGTGTTTTTCTAAAACCACTTTACTGATAGATTTATATTGAAAGTGAAAATTATTTTCTTCCATAACTAAGTTGGTATGGAAAGTAAGAGAAATACAACTGCTAGATTTAGAAATGCTCTGTGTATTCTCATACCTACTGCCTGAAATTCCAACACACACAACAAATACTCATGAAATCTGAGACACTTAACAAAAAATTGGATCTTTTTGAATTCATAGTCTGTCTAGGACCTGGAAGTTTTAGGGGTAATAAATAGATCATTGGTCACTAGGGCACTTTTGTCCTTTTCAATTTTTATAAATCACTAAGGTTATTGAATATAGTAAAAATTTGGCAGCAGTATTACTGCTACCCTGAGTATTTAAAAGTTTCTCAGTAATGTGGATAGATAAGTCTAAAGTAGAGTATAATCTCAGGAACTTACAGCATCATTTAAAAACAACAAGAAGGGGTAGGACCTGCAATGCTGGCATCCTATATGGGTTCCAGTTCCAGACCCAGCTGCTCCACTTCGGATCCAGCTCTCTGCTTTGGCCTGGGAAAGCAATAGAAGATGGCCCATGTGCTTGGGCCTCTGGGCCTGCTGAGACATGGAAGAAGCTCCTGGCTCAGGATAGGGCCATTTGAGGAGCGAACCAGCGGATGGAATATCTCTTTCTCTGCCTCTGCCTCTCTCCAACTCGGCCTTTCAAAATCAATCAATCAATCAATCAATCAATCATTTTTTTTAAAGTGGCAATTTCTTAGAGTTTGGAACATCAGAAAGGTCAAATATTGTGATATCAAATACTGGGACTTAACAAGTGTGTCTGGATCAGCGTTCTTAACCATTTTGTTATCAACAAGGATTTTATTTTGCATTGATCTGGTCCATGTTTTAGGGTCAGGCACGGACAATTTTTAGTTTGAACCATATTTTTTTTTAAAGATTCATTTATTAGGCCGGCGCCGCGGCTCACTAGGCTAATCCTCCGCCTAGCGGTGCCGGCACACCGGGTTCTAGTCCCGGTTGGGGCACCGGATTCTGTCCCGGTTGCCCCTCTTCCAGGCCAGCTCTCTGCTGTGGCCAGGGAGTGCAGTGGAGGATGGCCCAGGTGCTTGGGCCCTGCACCCCATGGGAGACCAGGAAAAGCACCTGGCTCCTGGCTCCTGCCATCGGATCAGCGCGGTGCACCGGCCGCAGCGCGCCGGCCGCGGCGGCCATTGGAGGGTGAACCAACAGCAAAGGAAGACCTTTCTCTCTGTCTCTCTCTCACTGTCCACTCTGCCTGTCAAAAAAAAAAAAAAAAAAGCCAAAGATTCATTTATTTTATTTGAAAGAGTTGCACAGATAGAGAACGAGAAGCAGAGAGAGGTCTTCCATCCATTGGTTCCCTCCCCACCCAGATGGCAGCATTGGTCACAGCTGCGCCAATCCAAAGCCGGGAGCCTGGAGCTTCCTCTGGGTCTCCCATGTGGGTGCAGAGGCCCAAGGACTTGGACCATCTTCTGCTTTCCCAGGCCATAGCAGAGAGCTGAATCAGAAATGGAGCAGCCGGGTCTCCAAACGGTACCCATATGGGATGTCAGCACTGTAGGCGGTGGCTTTACCTGCCACAGTGCCGGCCCCGCACCATAATTATTCTTAAACACTTTCCAATGTGAAGGGGCTGGTTAGTGCTCCAGGGGTCTGTGAAATTTCTAAAGGAGTGGGGCATGAGCCTGCAGGCAGGTGGTTCCAAGCGACAATTCTTTTCCTTCCTTTTTGGCAGACACAGCACTAGCACTCCTCTTCCAGAGTCGAGGATACAGTACCCTCACTCTCTCTCTGGTGTTGGGTTTGTAACTAGCTTTAAAACAAAGGCAGCTGACGAGTGAAAAGTGACAACTCCCAACTCCTTTCCACCACTTCCAGTCCCAACCTCAGAGGTCTCCCTCCATAACAGGGAACAAACAGGGACATTTCCCCCGCCACGGCGGGAGGCTGGGCCGCGGCCGTGGGGTAAGGAAGGCCCGACAGCTTGCTCACCGCTGTGGATCCTTTCTTCACCGCTTCTTGAGCATATTCCACTTGGAAAAGGTGTCCGTCCGGGGAGAAGACAGTGATTGCCCTGTCGTACCGAGATGCCATTGGAGCGGACAAGGACGCCCACCCAGAAACACGCGATACCGACGCAAACGGTGGTGAGTAGCTGCTGGCGCCCACCCGGAAGTGCTCACGCACGCGCCTCGCGTCGCCTCCCAGCAATCCTTGCGCCGACGCCTTTGGTGTCCCCGGAAGTCCTCTGTGGCTACCCAGCTGTTCCGCCTGAGGTTTCCGTGTGTAATGGCGGTGTTTTCCTGCAGTGCTTGGTACATAGCACAGTCTCCCACTTTCCCCCAGTGTGGCCCAGGGTAGTGTTAGGTCTCTTGGCTTGTAATGTGACATTAAGGCTTACAGATGAGTTCTTCAGGGATGGGTGTTTGGTCTGTGGTTTAGCCACGGTTTGGGACGCCCTCACCCATATTGGAGTGCCGGCTCCAGTCCCCATTCCAGCATCCTGCTAATGCGCACCCCTGGAGGCAGCAGGTGATGGCTTCAGTACTTGGATTGCTGCCTCCAACTTCAGAGACCTGGGTGGAGAGGTAGATGTTCCAGTCTTAGACCTGGCTCAACCCTGACTTGTATTTGGAGAGTGAACCTGCGGAAGGAACATCTCTGTGTGTGTCTGAGCCTTTCAAAACAGAAAAAGAAACGTGTTTCAAAGTGGTAATGCCTCTTTCATTCTTTTGCCTTGTTAACAAAATATAGTCTGAGCAAGGGGTCCTTTATGTAGAGCGAATAGTTAATGAAACTAAATCTAATGATGAGAATTAAAACTTAAAAAAAAAAAAAAGATTTACTTATTTACTTTGAAAGAGTTACAGGGATAGAGGGAGAGAAAGAGATCTTCAATCCAATGGTTCACTCCCCACATGATCACAACGGCCATACTGGGCCAAGCAGAAGCTGGATGCCAAGAGCTTCATCCAGGTCTCGCATATGGGTGGCAGGGGCTCAAGCACTTGAACCATCTTCTGCTAGTTTTCCCAGGCCATAGCGGGGAGCTGGATGCCGATGTTGCAGGTGGAGATTTTACTTGCTACTCTGCCATGCTTGCTGCGATAATGCTGTTTTAATTGAAGAAATTTTGTAGAAACCCAGACATATTTTAAGAGTGTTATCTGGGGCCGGCGCTGTGGCGCAGCAGGTTAACTCCCTGGCCTGAAGCGCTGGCATCCCATAGGGGCACGGGTTCTAGTCCTGGCTGCTCCTCTTCCAATCCAGCTCTCTGCTATGGTCTGGGAAAGCGGTAGACGATGGCCCAAGTCCTTGAGCCTATGTACCTGCGTGGGAGACCTGGAAGAAGCTCCTGGCTTGGATCAGCACAACTCCATCCGTTGTAGCCATCTGGTGAGTGAACCAGCGGGTGGAAGACCTCTCTCTCTGTCTCTCTGTCTCTGTCTCTCTCTCTCTCTGTCTCTACCTCTCTCTGTAACTCTTTCAAATAAATAAATCTTTCGGCTGGCGCCACGGCTCACTAGGTAAATCCTCCGCCTTGCGGCACCCGCACACTTGGTTCTAGTCCCGGTTGGGGCGCCGGATTCTGTCCTGATTGCCCCTCTTCCAGGCCAGCTCTCTGCTGTGGCCAGGGAGTGCAGTGGAGGATGGCCCAAGTGCTTGGGCCCTGCACCCCATGGGAGACCAGGATAAGTACCTGGCTCCTGCCGGCCGCAGTGTGCCAGCCGCGGCACCCATTGGAGGGTGAAACAACAGTAAAGGAAGCCCTTTCTCTCTGTCTCTCTCACTGTCCACTCTGCCTGTCAAAAAAAAAAAAATAATAATAATAATGAAGAAATAAATCTTTAAAAAAAAGAATGTTATCTATAGCAGAATGTTTGTCTATTGTGGTAGAGCAGTCTCTGTTCTCATCAATAAGATGGGAATATTAACAATCTGCAGCAAAGTGTTCAGAAGTTAAAATGTGTTTATAGGCATAATAACTTAAAATGGGACCTGGTGGGTTGTAATAGCTAGGGAAGTTTGGCTCTTATTACTTTCCATGTATCGTTTAATACTCAAAAATGCTGTTTTCAACTGGCGAGGATCTTCAAGGTGGTGAACTCAACCTTAACTAAAAACCGAAAACCAAACAATAAAAATAAAAAAAAATAATTATCCACAAAAGAGGAAAGATAAAAGTCATCTCCCTTGATTCCAAATACTTAATTGAGAATTTTATTTGACTCCTGAAAGCAATTTGTATGTATTCCTCCTCATCTGTTTTCTTCAGTATTAGAAACTCTTGAAAAGTTTGGTTCTACTGAGAAAAACAATAATTCTGAATCAAAACAATTCACCATAAGTGGTTACTTTACAATATTGGTAAACCAACATTTTCCAGAAGCTCTTTTTTTTTTTTTTTTAAGATTTTATTTATTTGAGAGGTAGAGTTACAGACAGTGAGAGACAAAGACAGAAAGGTCTTCCCTCCACTGGTTCACTCCCCAAATGGCCACAATGGTTGGAGCTGTGTGGATCTGAAACCAGGAGCCAGGTGCTTCTTCCTGGTCTCCCATGCAGGTGCAAGGGCCCAAGCACTTGGGCCTTCCTCCACTGCCCTCCCAGGCTATAACAGAAAGCTGGATTGGAAGTAGATCAGCCAGTACTAGAATTGGCACCCATATGGAATGCCAGCACTGCAGGCAGAAGATTAACCTACTGCGCCACAGTGCTGGCCCCCAGAAACTGTTTTTTGAGAAGTATTTTAGTGTTCAAGTAATAATTTTTTTACCTTCAAATAATTAGAGATTTACATGAAGTCTCAAAATAGGACACCAAGAAATCTGCTGTATCCCTCACCTAGTTTCATCCAATAATAGTATCTTACATTCTGTCTCAGGAAACTGCTATAGGTACAATCCACTAAGTTATTTTCAGTTTTAGAAAAGCAATTTTTCATAACCATGTATTATTTTTAAATTTTTTAGATTTATTTATTTATTTGAAATTCAGAGTTACACAGAGAGAGGAGGGAGGGGGCGGGGGTTCCATCCGCTGGTTCACTCCTCAGTTGGCCGCAACGGTTGGAGTTGCACCCATCTGAAGCCAGGAGCTTCCCCCGGGGCCTCCCACGCGGGTGCAGGGACCCAAAGTCTTGGGCCATTTTCTACTGCTTTCCCAGGCCAGCAGAGAGCTGGATCAGAAGTGGAGCAGTTGGGTCTCAAACCGGCACCACTGTGGGATGCCGGTGCTTCAGGCCAGGGCATTAACCCACTGCACCACAGCGCTGGCCCCCTTAAATATTTTTAAAAATTTATTTATTTGACAGGTAGAATTACAGACAGTGAGAGGGACAGAAGGGGAGAAAGGTCTTCCATCAGCTGGTTCACTCTCCAAATGGCTGCAACGGCTGAAGCTGGGCCAATCCAAAGCCAGAAGCCAGGAGTTTCTTCCTGGTCTCCCATATGGGTGCAGGGGCCCAAGAATTTGGGCCATCGTCTACTACTTTCCCGGGACATAGTAGAGAACTCAATTCGAAGAGGAGCAACAGGGACTTGAACTGGTACCTGAATGGGATGCTGATGCCGCAGGCTGGCCCCCATAACTATATTTATGTTAATGCCTGCTATCTTATTCATTTGAAATAAATTTAAGCGTAAATAATACAAATATACAGTTTAAAATGGAAACATCTCTCTCCTTATTGTTTATTCCTATTCTCTTTCCAATCTCTGGCCTCCTGTATAGAAAACCACTTACATTAACTTAGTGTATGTGCTTTTACTCTTTCTACATTTGAAAACATGTATCTATACAGACATTTTAAAAAAAGCATAAATGGGGGAAAGTGTTTGGTTAAATGCTTAAGTTACAAGTTTAGGTACCTGTGTCCCACCCTGAAGGACCTGTATTTGATCCCCAGCATTAGCTCCTGTTTCCAGTTCCCATCTGTGCAGATGCTGGGAAGCAATACATGATGACTCAAGTAATCAGGTGTGCATATTTGCAACTTTCTTTAATGTCTGGCTTAACAGGAGATAACTAGATTCAGTGATGTGTTTCTGCATTTAATCTGTTGCAATATGTTATTTTGGTTAAGGTTTAGGAAGAAAATTCTGCCTCATAAAAACAGGATACTTTCTATACATATGACTGGGTTTTCTGGGAAGTTGATTTGACTTCTTCCTTTCCAATCTGAATGCATTTACATGTTTTTTATTTATATTTTTTATTACCATGTGTATAGCTTCCTGCAGAGTTGAACAGAAATTACAAGAGTAGAAATTCTTGTTTCATTCTGATCTAAAGAAAAAAAACAGTCACCATTAAGGAGGTAGATTGTCCATAGATACTTTTTATTAGGTTGAGGAAGTTCCTTTGTATTCCTAGTTTGTTGAATATTTTTGTCATGGAAAGCTGTTGAATTTTTTTCAAAGGCTTTTCTTCCCGTGTCAAATGAGATGATCATGTGGCTTTTCCCCCCTGAACTCTTTTATCTAACTTACGCAAACTTAATGCATTTCATAAATACAATATCCCACTGTACCTACCCTCCCAGCCAGACTCCCACCCTTCTTCCTCCTTCCTCTCCTATTCCTATTCTTATTTTTTTAGAAGATTTATTTTATTTATTTGAAAGAGTCAGAAAGAGGTAGAGACAGAGAGGTCTTCCATTTGCTGGTTCACTCCCCAGATGGCCGCAATGGCTGCGCCGATCCAAAGCCAGGAGCAAGGAGCTTCTTCTGGGTCTCCCACGTGGGTGTAAGGGCCCAAGGACTTGGGCCATCTTTCACTGCTTTCCCAGACCATAGCAGAGAGATGGATAGGAAGAGGAGCAGCAGGGACTAGAACCGGTGCCCATATGGAATGCCAGTGCTTCAGGCCAGGACTTTAACCCTCTGTGCCACAGCACTGCCCCCCCCCCCCCATTTTTATTTTTTACTAAGATCTATTTTCAATTAACTTTGTACATAGAAGATTAACTCTATAGTAAGTAAAGGGTTCAAGAAATAGTATAAAAAAACTGTGCCTCAACAATCGAGACAAGGGCTATTCAAAGTCATTGCATCTCAAAGTGTCAATTTCACTTCTATAGATTACTCTTTAGGTGCTCTATTGGTTACCACATATCGGGGGGAATATATGATATTTGTCCTTCTGGGACTGGCTTATTTCACTAAGTATCATGTTTTCCAGTTTCATC